CATTATATCATTGAGCAGGCCACATTGTGTTTATCCATTTTCTATTGACAGGTATTTGGGTTGTTTGTGCTATTTGGTGATTGAAAATAATTGCTTCTGCCAATTATTTTGTGTGTGGATATATGTTTTCTGTTTTCATTATTTATTTTAGATGTATGTTTTCAGTTTTCTTGGGTACAGATCTAAGTGGAATTGTTCCATCATATGATCTCTCTGTATTTAACCATTTGAGGAAATGCCAAACTTACATTCTCACCAGTAGTGTACAAGGCTTCCAATTTCTCCCTATTCTTGCCAACACTTGTTATTGTCTGTCTTTGATTACGACCACCCTAGTGGGAGTGATATGATCTCTCAATATGGTTTGGATTTGTATTTTCCTGATGGCTAATGATTGAGCATCTTTCTTGTGCTTCTTGGCCATTTGAATATTATTTTTTTGTTTGTTTGTTTATTTTTGGTACTGGGATTTGAACCTGAAGTACTTAACCTCTGAGCCACATCCCTAGCCCTTTTTTATTTTTTATTTTGAGACAGGGTCTCTTTTTCTTTTGAGACAAGGCTCTATGTTGCTTAGGGCCTTGGTAAATTGATGAGGTTGGCCTCAAATTTGTAATCTTCCTGTCGCAGCTTCCCAACTTGCTGGGATTACAGGCATGTGCCACCATGCCCAGTCTGAGTATCCTTGTTTTGAGAAATGTTTATTCAACTCTCCCCCCCCCCCCCTTTTTTTTTTTTGCAGCACCCAGGGGTGCTGTGCCACTGAGCCACATCCTCAGTTTATTTTATTTTGAGATAGATGTCAGTTAAGTTGCCCAGACTGGCCTCGAACTTGTGATCCTTTTGCCTCAGCCTCCCTGTAGCAGGAACTACAGGTGTGCATTACTGGGCCCAGCTTTCTTTGCTTACTATTATATTATTACTATTATTATTATTATTATTGGGATATTATTGGGATTGAAGCCAGGAGTATTCTACCACTGAGTTACCTCCTCAGTCCTTTTTTTTTTTTTTTGAAATAGGGCTTCACTAAGTTGCTGAGGCTAGCCTTGAACTTGCCTTCCTCCTACCTCAGCCTGATGAGTCTCTGGGATTTCAGGCATGTGCCATTGCACCTGGCTCCTTTGCTCATTTTTAAATTGGATTGTTTTATGTCACTATGTTTATTAAGGGGAAACTGAAGCTGAAAAAGAGAACATGACTGGACCAGGAACACTGGGCTCTGGAGCAGATTGAGGCTGGAACTTGAGTTGTTCTCCACCTCTGATTTGGCAGGTGGGGGGGGCCACCTTCTTTCTACCCAGTGGAGCACCCCACCTCCCATCCCCAGTTTTGATCTGCTTCCCCCAGGCCTTGGCAGGTCCGATTCTTGCATTTGAAGGGGCAGGGCCCCCACAGCCTGAGGGTGAGCCGGAAAGGCTGGGAAACAGCCATTCTGAGGAACCAAGCCTGTCCTCTCTTCCTCTCCAAATCACGCGGACCTGCCTGACGTGGCCCAGGAAGAGGGGACAGCCCTGGGCCCTGTGGTTGGGGATCCTATTTATACTGGCTGGGCCATGTTGCAAGCTTTTCCTGCTGGCGAGAGGGACGTCACTGGGCACTGACCTCACCAGAAACGCTGACGCACCTTCCCTCATGCTTCACTTGAATGGTCCTGAGGCCAGGCTTCCCTACCTCCTGGCCATTCCCTGTCCTCCTATATCACCTAGCTCTGGACCCTCAACCAGTGTCCCCACTCCCTGAAGCCTTCCCACAGTGCCTCCTCTTGCAAGATGTTACGGGCTGAATCATTGCTTGCCTGAATTCATGTGTCTAAAATCCTCATTCACATGATCTCAGAATGTGACTATTTTTAGACATAGAGCCTTTGAAGGGGTAATTGAGGTAAAATGAGGCCATTGGTGGGCTCTACACTGATATGACTGGTGTTCTTATAAAAGAGGAGATTAGGACACCAATAACACAGACCAATAGGTGACCAGGTAAGAAGACAAGAAGACAGAGCCAGGTACGGTGGCACACACGTGTAATCCCAGCAATTTGGGAGGCCGAGGCAGGAGGATTGTAAGTTCGAGGTCAGCCTCAGCAATTTAGACCCTGTCTCAAAAAAGTAAAAAGGGCTGGGGATGTGGACCAGTGTTAAATCACCTCTGAGTTCAATCCCAGTACAGAAAAGAGAGAGAGAGAGAGAGAGAGAGAGAGAGAGAGAGAGAGAGAGAAGATGACCATCTATAAGCCAAGGAGAGAGACCCAAGAAGGAACAACCTACTGACACCTTGAGTTCAGATTTCTAGCCTCCAGAGCTGAGCTGTGAGCTAATAAATTTCTGTTGTCTAAGCCACCTTGCCTGTAACAGAGTTGGCTCTCTGTATAGGGAGGTTCCACATCATTAGATTCAACCACCTGCAGATGGCAATGTGGTTAGGCCTCTGATGGTTTTGTCTGTGCTGAACATGTATATTTTTCTTCCTGTCATTATTCCCTGAATAATATAGTCTAAGAACTGTTTACTAAGCATTTGCTTTGTGGTATTAAAAGTCATCTAGAGATGACTTAAAGTATAGGGGAGCCACACATGGTGGCTGCACACTTCCAGTTCCAGTGAGTCGGGAGGCTGAGGCAGAAGGATTGCAAGTTCGGGGCCAGCCTTAGCAACTTATTGAGGCTCTCTGCAATGTAGCAAGATCCTATATCGAGATTGAAAAAAAATAAAATAGAAAGGACTGAGGATATAGCTGGACTGGCAGAGTGCCCCTGGGTTCAATCCCCAGTGCCCCCAACACACACACCCACAAAAATACATGGGAAGATGTGTCTTAAATTCTCTGCAGATACTATACCATATAAGGGACTTGAACAAACTCAGATGTGACAGAACCAGTCCCTGTGGAAGCCCTGGGATGTCTGTATTTCTATTATGGTAGCCCCAGCAAACTAATATATAAGCTGTCCTTGCCTTTGGTGACCTTGGTCCCTGTGGCCTGTGGCCTGGGCACAACACTTTGTCTAGCCCCATGCTAAGAATGTTGTCCTTTGAATTAGGCCTGGTTTGAATGCCCTCTTAACTGTTTGCAGGGTGGCCTTGGGCATCCTCAGAAGTCTTGGAACTGGTGAGGGAACATGGCCTCCTTGAACTGTGGGCAGAATAGAATAAAGCAGAGGTGTGACTCCCCAGGTGTGGCGGGCGATCAGCAGTTGCTGAGAGGGGCATGAAGCTCTGTGGCCCCATCTGGCTCTCCTGCCCTGATTAGGCCCCTGGACTTCTGGGAGCTTCTGTCTCCTCATCAAAGCGAGCTAGGGAATCTTCCTCTAGAGACTGCGGCAAGATGAGATCAGGGATGTGAAATGGAGAAGGATCCTGACTTGGCCAGGGCCCCAGGCATTGTGGGGGTGGATGAGAAGGGGAATTTAGTGGAAGCGGAATTCTCAGGATGAGAATCCAGAACTGGCCCCTGGGGGTGGTGACGGTGGGGTATTGGGCCTTGTGCAGGGAGCGGATGGGGGTGTAGAGCAGCCTCTTGGGCATGGAGACTGCCTGATTTTGCCTACTGTTGAATCCTCAGCGCCTGGGGATGGCTGGCACAGAGCAGGGCCAAGTCTGTTGAATACAGGGGTGGCAGGGGCCTGTCTACAGAGGTGGAGAACAGGCGGAGTGGCCTCCATCTGGCGTCACTGGCTTTCCGTGAAGGGCTCTTCAGGAGTGATGCACCCGCTGCCTGCAGCCGAGACCTCTCTGCCAGGCCCCAGGGGCCCACCCTGGCTCTTCAGCCTTATGAGATCTGCCTCTCAACTGACCCCTTTCCAGGCCTGTTACTTGTGTGGGGCTGCCAGGCATGACCTGCAGGCCCCTGGCTAATCCCTGAACCACCTTGTCCACCCTTTCCCTGGACCTCAGTTTACCCCACAGTAAAGTAGCAGGTTGACTAGAGGGGTATTGTCTCTAGGGCGCCTTTCTTGTCATGTTCAGATGCCTTCAAGAAGAAGAGGACCAACCCATGATCGCTATCTTTCAGAGAAAGTGAAACCTGGTCTCCAACTGTCACCACGGCAGCTCCACTACCCCTCCCTGGCTTCCCCTCTGAGCTCACAGCTTCCCCATCTCCTCCACTCCCCCATCCTGCCCGCCCCCCTCCAATAGCTAGTACTTGGAATTAGAGTTTCGTCTTTTCTTTTTCCTTCAAAAGATTTTGCCTTTTATGTCCATGATGGCAGCAGCCCTGTGAGGTGGGCTGGGAAATTTGCTTTTGACTTCCTCAGGTTGGGTTTCTGGGACCCAGACAGGTTAAGTGACTTATGTCAGGCCACATAGCAGCTCAGAAAGCTTGAAACCTGATGTTCTTTTTCTCTTGCTCCAAGTGTCCAGTTTCCCCTAAAGGACCCTGTCTGCAGAGCAGGATCTGCCTGTGGGTGGGAGATCTAGGATGTGAGGCTGGTAGCAGGTGCCTGCTGAGGGATTGAAGACAGGGAGTGCTGGGCTGGGGGATGCTAGTCCTGGGGCTGGAACCACAATCTCGGGGCTGCCAGCCTGGGTCTGGCTCTGTGCCCAGAGCCCAGTGGTTTCCGCTCACAGATGTCCCAACAGCCCCAGTGAGAGGGCGGGAAGGGCACTCAACAGGGAAGATGTCTTGCTCCCCTCAGCCCCAGACCTCAGTGTCCTGCAGAGCTGGTGCCTCCTGGGAAGAGGGACCAGGGCCTCTGCAGGTCTGGCTTGCAGCTTCTCCCTCTTACCCTGGGCCCAGGCTCCTGAAGATGGCAGGGACCCTCTTGCTTCCCACTCTCCCCAAGAAGGCCGAGGCTGTAGTTTGCATCATCCTTGGGCGTGGGGCTGACCTCGAAGAACGAATTCGAAGAAAACAGGAGGAGGAGCGGGCATGCCACAGCACCCATCGCCCATTGGCCGCTGTGGAAACTTTGGTTTTTGGGGTCATGTTCCCAGAAGGCCTGCCCTCCCCCCACCCCCTCCCCACCCACCTCACGAGGTGTTGGCCAATCGCCCCGGCGGGCATAAAGTGGCTGGCAGCCCGCAGGGCTCCCAGCAGGGAGGTGTTACCCCCGGTAGGCGCGGGCCACAGCACGGGCACCCAGCATGCGGGCACAACTCACAAGGAGGACGCTGCTCAGTAAGTACTTCCTTCCTCTGTACCAGCACCTGCTTGCTGTGCCCAGGGTGCTGGCGGGTAGCGGGGCACCCTCTGCCCTCTGAGAGCTGGGGTGGGCAGTCACCAGGCAGAAGGATGCTGAGGAGAGGAAAGAGCCATGAGGTCAGGTAAAGGAAGGGATCCACTGAGAACCCAGGATACCCACAGGTGGAGGGGGTACCCCTGGAGGGTTTCTAGGGGAAGGCGAAATAGACAACTCTGGGAACAAGGCCTGAGGGAAGAGGATGGATTGGGAAGAGACCAGGGAACCAGAAGGAAAGAGGAAGATGTTCCGGGAAGGGAAGGAAGTTACTAGCCAGGCAGAGAAGTGGGGCAATATGTGTTCCGATGGGGCCTCCTTCTTGCCCTGCTTTGATTCTCCAGGTCTGGGATGAATTCTCAGGTCAGCCAGTCCCGGGGGCCTCGGAGCCCAGACAATCACACAGCACACAAGCCACACCCACAGGACAGCAGGCACAGGGAGTCCTGTGACATCACCAGAGCCTTATCCAGGAAGCCTCACCTGCAAGCAGGGCTCCAGTGAAGAGGGCAGGTGCTCCTTGAGCCTCACATGGCCCCTGCCACACACCCTGCAGACACCTAGTCTCATGTGCGTACCGTCATCCGCACACCACGGACCTTCTGTCTGGCTGTGGATACCTGGGGAGCTGGCGAGGGCACTCTGTGGATGGCACACTCAGGGGCCCAGCCTCTCAGGCCTCCCCAGCAGCCAGTCCTCCCCAAGGGACTGAACAGTTTGTAGGAAGGGAAGGATGGTGTCACTGTCTTCCGGGCCATTGCGCCATAGGCCCCTTCCGACCACGTGGCTGCTTGTGCTGTGGGGGTGGGGGCAGAGAGCCATAACTGCACCAGCCCCTTGCAGCCTTCTGACAGGCTTGCAGCATCCCTGGTGGGCCAGGCTGAAGTGGCCATTTATAGAGAGAGGAGGAAGATATGGGAGGTTGGGGAAAGCTCTGGCCTTGTGTGTCCTGGACAAGCCCATCTCTTGTGACTTGGTTTACCTGTCAGTAAAATGGGCACATGCACTGAATGAGCTCCCATCTCCTTTCCTGGTTGACCATTCAGATGGAGAGGTCACTTCTTCTAGTTCTGATTACAGGGCACCTGGCTGCTCCGGGGCTGCCACCCCAAAAACTTCTCAATAGAGGACTAAAGCCTGCTGCAGGGAGTCCAGGGTAGCTGACAAGTCTGGGTCCTGGAGAGGGGCCAGTCCTTAGCCCCAAGATCTTGCAGAGAGCTAGTTCCAACTTGGTCATCTGCTCTTAGTTCCTGAGGTTAGGATATTTTTTTTAATTTTTAAATTTTATTTATTCTAATTTGTTATATATGACAGCATAATTCAGTTCAATTCATATTACACAAATGAAGTTAGGATCTTGATGTAGGCAGGACTGAGCTCCAGCAAGGATGGGTGCTGCAACTTCTGCTCAAACACCTACTTGGTAAATGGCAGCCGCTATCCTGGCCTTTCCCACCCTGTTTCGGATCTAGTGACTCACTGGGAAGGTGGTGGTGGCCCCACAGTGCCACCTGTCTGCACTGGGATGGGAGAATACACCCTCTGGGGCTCTCTTGAGTCCCTCTCTGAGGCTTTCACCTGTGGCTTCCTCTCAAGTCAGGTGACCCGCATCCTTCTTCATCTCAGGTCTGGTCCTTGGACTTCTGCTCCTGAGCACTGCAGCAGCCATGCGTGGCTGCTCGGGTCCTTACCAGCAGCTCCTCAGCCAGCTCCAGAGGCAAGCGAACCTCACAGAGGACACCAGCTCACTTCTGGAACCCTATGTGAGCACCTCACCCCTTGTGGCTTCTGAGCCTCAGAGAATTGTGGGGTTTAGTCAGGGAGTGAGCATAACCCCGACTCAATATGGGGGTGGGTGGGGAAACTGAGTCCTAGTGTTATTCCAGCCCTAACCCTGAGAAGCTGAAGTGCCCTAGCTCCCAACTCCTTGTTCCACTGCCTGTTCAGAGTGTTCACTGCACACCTGGCAGGTGCCTGGTTCCAGGCACCTAGATGTAGCAGTGAGCAAAACAGATCCTGCCCTTCTGAAGCCCCCCTTTCCCACTGACATGCCCTCATCCAATCACCCCCACCAACCCCAAACAGCCCTCTGACCCTGTCCTGGGTGATCTCAGAATCTATTGTCCTCCACGGGCCTCAGTTTTTGCATCTGTCCAATGGGAAAATCAGATAGAGGAGAATCAGTTTTAGCATTTAAAAGCCAGTCAGGGTGGACTCTTCTATGTGTGTGGTTGGGCTGGGGACGGGGACTCCAGCATGCACTCTCTGACTCTCCTGTTCCCCCTAGATCCAACACCAAAACCTGGACACACCTATCCTGAGAGGATCCTGCACAGAGCATCCTGGGGCCTTTCCCAGCAAGGATGCACTTCGGGGACTGAGCAAGCGAAGCTTCCTGTGGACTGTCAATGCCACCCTGGGCCGAGTCCTGAATGGACTAGTTACTTTACAAAAGCAACTCTTAAAACCCCAGGACTTAGAAGAACTGGAGACGGCCAAGAGGAACATACAAGGCATCAGGAACAACATCCACTGTATGTCCTGGTTGCTTAATGGCTCCTCTGATACTGTTGAGCCCGTGCCGACAGGCCCAGGGCCTTGGCTGCAGCTCACTTCTGCCCTGGATGTCTTTCAAGCCAAGCTGGAGGGCTGCAGGTTCCTGCGTGGCTACCATCGCTTCATGGGCTCAGTGGGGTGGGTATTCAGGGAGTGGGGGGAGAGCCCGAGCAGGAGCCGGAGACACAGCCCACGCCGGGCTCTGCACAAGGGGGTCCTCAAGACTAAGATCTTCAGGAGGGGCAAGAGGCCTGTGCCCCGGGGGCATCTGCCCTGGTAGCGTAAGGGGCGCACCTTGCAGATGAAGAACACAGGGGTTCCCTTTGGAAGTGAGGTGTCATGGCATGACACCAAACTTGCTCTGCTCCATCCCCCACGACACAGAAGTGCACTTTAAGGAGAGGAGCTGGCTGGGCTCCTCCTGCCTCCTCTGGGTTGAGGAGATAGAGTCAGGCTGTTGCACCCCCAGCCCCAAGTTTCCCAGTCCTGGTGGGGTGGCCAGGTCAGGCCACGTGGGACCGACTTTCCATTGATTCAGGGGTCTGATGACACAAGCTGACTCATGGCTGGGCTGACTACCCCCCTCCCCCCAGATCCCCAGAGGCCAGCCAGCCCTTCCCTCTCATGACTTGCAGGGCTGTTGACCCCAGACTTCCTCCTTTTCATGGTGGCAGGATTCTGAGAGGGAGGTCAGGGCTTGAACTGACCTCTGATGCCTCATCAATGCTCAGGCCAGACACCTGGACATCTGGGTGACCTCACTTTAGGCAGCTGTTACTGGGGTGGGGTGTCCTGGAGGTCTAGGGAAAGGGTGCTGAGGTCCCAGCCCAGCCACTAACTCACTGTGTGACCTTGGGTGGGTCATTTTACCTCTTAGGACCTTAGTTTTTTCTTTGGGGAGCCAGGGGACTATATAAAACCCCCTCTGCCTGTCAGTTGCTGGGATTTCGTGACACAGGGTGGACATCAAATTCTTTGTAAATTGGGACATGTGGTGCAAATGGCCATGGGGTGAGGGCATGCTGAGTTCTCGCCCAGTGCCTGGAAGCACCCAGTCTTGGGTCCTGGCTGCTGGCTGCTCCCCCTGGTGGTGGGTCACGGAATTTTCTCATATTGAAACCATTACCCTCCTGGAGGGGGTCCCAGAAACTGCTGGGCAGATTCCTTGGAGCAACATGTCTAATTTATTGATTTTTATCAGTTTTTAATCAGTTTCATATTTATAAAGTGTATTTATGATGTGTATTTAATGTTAATATTGTGCTAACATATATTTAAAACTTGCTGGTTTCTAAAGCTCCTGTCTCTGTGTCTCTCCATGCCCCGAGAAGGTCTATGCTTGTCCAAGAAGGGAAGTCACATGCCCCAGCCACCCAGGGGCTCTGACCAGGGAAAAACTTCATGTTTTTTCTTCTTGTTATTTTTAATAGCTAAATGAGTCTCCTTTGAGATTCCGGGGATGAGGGGTGCCAGGGAGGGGAGCAAGAGAGGGGGGAGGGAGTTTGGAGTGTGTAAACTGCTGTAAGCTACTGTGGGTGTGGGACTGGGGTATGGGTGGTAATGTGTGTTGTGTGCATATTTTTCTTGCCTCAAATTTTTTTTTTTGTACTGGGGTTTGCATCCAGGGTGCTTAACCACCGAGCCACATCCCCAGCCTGTTTTTTATATTTTATCATGAGACAGGATCTCATTAAGTTGCTTAGAACCTCACTAAGTTGCTGATGCTGGCTTTGAACTCGTGATTCTCCTGCCTTAGCCTCCTGAGCCACAATTATAAGCATTTGCCAACGTGCCTCATCTTAAAGCCTGGATGTTGATGTCCAGGATACTTGTGTGTATATATGGATCCGTGGGTGTATTTCTGTATGCGTCCAAGCATGTGCAAGCATAGATGTGTACCCATGTGTCCTTACATATGCGTATACTCATGGATTCCCCTGAAGGGACATAGATACATCTGGTCCCTGGAACACAGTAGGTGCCCTAAGCATTTGTGAAGTTAATCAGTGTGTAAGTTCACTGCCCTGCTACTACCACCCTGCCCAGCAAATGCTGCAGATACTCACAAAGGAATGGCAGCGTGGACAGAGCAATAAACTGGGAGGGGGTGAGGGGGTGGAACCATAGCATGAGTCAGACAGACCTGACTGAGTTCAAAGTCTCTTCTTAGCCTCCTCCTGTCTGTCTGGGTGACCCTGGACAAATTAATGGGTCTCAGAATCCCTATTTCCTCATCTGTGAAATGGGCGAGATCATAACAGATCTTGTTTCAGACAATTTGTGACTTGGAGTGTGTTTAAAATTGCTTCCCGAAGGGCCCCAAGGAACTAGATTTCTATCTGATCCCTGGGAAATGACTCCCTCCTGATGCTCAGGGTCCCTCTTCTGGAGAGGTACCTGTAGGCCAAGAACATGCCGAGGCAGTAGCTACAAGAGAAGGGTCAACAGAAAAAGATGAACTTGCATGCCTTAGGCATGTAATAATGTTTTTGTGTTCTTGTGTGTGTGTGTTTTAAAAAACTGGGGGTTCAAACCCCAGCATTGCTAAAAAAAAAAAAAAAAAAAAGATGAACTTGACCTGCATCAGTCCCAACCACCCACACTTCCTAGAATAAGGGGCCAAGAGGGGAACAGAACTTGCCATCAGTGGTGGGAGAGAACCTGGCCGGGACTTTGCAATCTATATGATCTACTTTGCAATCGAGAAGACTGACACCCAGAGAGTCAGAGAGTATGAGTGGCCTGCTCCTGTTCTCAGTGCAAATTAACTGGGAGTAGACACAGTTTGAATTCAGGCCCTCTGGACTCCAGGGCGGGAGTATATTCCTGGTATCCCTTCACTCGCCGCCTCTGCAACTTGGCTTTCAATTGCATGAGTCCCTGAAGACACTGAGTTCCGGGGCAAGGGGCAGACAGAGAAGAGACAAACAAAAGAACCAACAGGAGCATCGGATATTTGCATATGAGCTCAGCAAAAATAGAGTGAGGTGATGTAATATAGAGAACGAGAATCGGGCGATGTGGGTGGTCAGAGCGGTGTCTGGAGAGATGACGTCCATGCTGTGGTCTGAATGACGTGCAGAAGGGGTGATGGGAACAGCTGGGGCAAAGGCTTTCAGCATTCAAGGATCAAAGTAGAATAAGTGAGGGCATATGATTTATCAAAAGACGCAGAGTAGGGCAGCATCTTGCCCAATGTCACAAAGTATTAGTGCAGGACTAGAGCTGGAATTCCTGTCTTTTGATTCCCTCTGAGTCACCCAACCCAATATATTCCAGGAGATTTACCAAGTGCCTATAAGAGCCCACTGCTGCCTCACACTGAGCTCGCTGTCCCCCACAGGACTCTCGCTACATCGGCTACCTTTCGGCTCCTGAATTGCCTGGGCCTTCCCTCCTACCATAAGGGCTCCATCTATGCTGTTCCCTCTCTCGAGAATGCTGTTCCATTTCTTTTTTGTCATGTTAACTCCCTTCTTCGTCAGCTGTCAGCTCACAGTTGCATTCTCAGCAATTCCTCCTCACCTGTCTGTGATCTGGATTTAATAACTTGCTTACCTGTTCTCTCAAAACTGTCCCATCTGGGGATGCTCCCTCTATGGTGTTTGCATTCTTGACCCCCTCCCCTGGTGCTGCTCAGGGCAGAGCCACCATCTGTTTTGCTCCTTGGGGCCCTTCAGGAAGCAATTTTAAACACACACCAAGTCACAAGGCACCCAGTATGGTGCCTGCACACAGTAGGAGCTCAATGAGGAACAGCACAGGTGGGCCCCAGCCTCCCAGGCCAAAGAAGAAGAGGCAACTGGGTCAATGGGGGGAGTTGGGAGTGAACACACCAGGAAGCCATCCTGATGCTCTGCTGCCAACAGCAGGCAGCTGGCTGTCACTCACATCTACCCTGCCTCAGCATCAGGGAAGGGGGCTTTCCTTGCTTGGGCTGCTGGGAAGCTGTGGGTGAGAGGTGACAGGCACTGAAAGCCAGGCACACTCAGCTTCCTGAAGCGGAAGGGGAGCTGGTGCTGTGGCTGGCACTGAGGTTGCCCACGGAGAATGCAGAGGTTGATCTGCGGAAGAGGAGCTAGGAAGTCTGGTGTGCCTATGCCTGCCTCTCACCTCCACCCTCTAAGGAGGGGCATTTGAACCAGCTTTGAATTGAAGTGGCATTCACCCCCCAGGAAGCAGATGAGGGTAGTCCAGACTCTGGGGAAGGGTCTCAGGTACTCCATCTAAGGGGATTGTCACCTCCATATTGCATCCTGTGAGTTACAATTGAAGGTAACCCTAAACCACCATCTCCAGGTTGATCACCTCCCAAGGTGTGATCTATCTCCTCCCAGTTCTGGGGAGACCTGCAGGTCTCAAAACCAAACTTGCCATCCTCCATCAAGCCACGCTCCTGCTTTCTGACCCCCACAACAGGGTCCCAAATCCCCACCCATTCCTTTGCTGTCCTGAGGTCTCTCCTCTCCCCATCAATCACTCAATTCTCTCTCCTCACCAGCAAGGGTCTGGCTCCCTGGATTCAGCTTAAAACTCACTCTCATAAAGGGCCCCCCCCTGCTCACAGACCTTCCAGGACAGACTCCTTTCCTCCTGCCCTGCTGCTGGGCCCTTCAATTCCAAATTTCTCATCATGGCATAGAAGGCCCCTGGCTCTCAGGCCTGATCAACTTTGCCAGCTTATTCCTGCATTGGCCCCATGCTCAGCCGGCCCCTAGCATGTCCCAGCAGCCTGGCCTTCCTAGTGTTTCCTGCTCCCCACCTCTCACATCCCCCACCCTGCAGCTCAAATGCCCCCAACCTCCTCAGGTTTGTGGGGTTTCCTTGGTGCTGTGGCAGTTAACAGGAGGCCACTTGTGGATTGTGCATCAGCTTCAGGAAGAATAAACCCTTATCAGGTCACCCTCTCCCCCAACCTCTCCCTCCCCCACATCCCTCACATCCCCCAAACTGATTGTTTGAGGGGGTCCCCATCATCATCACCTGTGAAAGGCTCGGGAACAGGGATTTGAAAACAATACCTTTTTGGCCACAATGTGAACTGAGGTTTCCACAGGGCAATTTTTCCCCTAGAGGGTTGACACAAATAAATGTGCTGTCTCTCCACTGATCTGTGTGAAGGGACAAAGTCATGACCATGGTAAGCAGGCAACAAATTCAGTTCGATGAAGAGCCCCCAATGTGGTCCTACACCTGAACCCAATTAAAACTGAATTTTCATTTTTAAGCATATTTGGCGACAGTCACAGACTCCTGGTCAATGCTATAAACTACATACTAGGATTAAAAATCCCACAGGACAGAAGGCATAGAAAACGGGGAACCTTCAGGAAAAAGCAGAGAAGGGGGTCCTGGCACATATTGTTTATCTACAAAACAAACTCACAGCTTGGAAATGGCAGAGCCAGAATGCAAACTTGGGTCTTTCTTGGGTCTTCATGGTCTTCTGCCCTTTGCTATCCCAGTTCTTCTCTTTTTTTTTTTCTTTTTCTTTTTTCTCCGTGCTGGTGATCAAATCCAGGCTCGGAGCATGCTAGGAAAGTGCTCTATCACTGAGCTATACCCCCAGCTCTGCCCCAGTTTTAATGTGATATATTTACTCCTTAGCAAGAGATGATAAAGTACTTTGGACTTAGGCAAAATGAGCCCTCCCACCTCCTGCTTCAGCCCTTACAAGTAGCCTGCTCGGAATGCGCCCCAGTTTCCCTCTTTGCACAATGGGACTACCTTGGCTCACCTCCCAGCTAGACAAAGATTTTCTGGGAGATAACGCAGACCAGATACTGATGTTAGCATGGCCCCTGAATAGGTATGTAATATTCTCTTTCTCTCATTTTCCTTTTCCTTCCTGATTGATATCTTTCTTTCTTTTTTTGGTGGGGGCAGGTACTGGGGATTGAACTCAAGGGTACTCGACCACTGAGCCACACCCCCCGGCCCCTATTTTGTAATTTTTATTTAGAGATAGGATCTCACTGAGTTGCTTAGCACCTCTCTTTTCTGAGGCTGGTTTTGAAATCCCAATCCTCCTGCCTCAGCCTCCCAAAACACTGGGATTACAGGCATGTGCCACCATGCCCAGCTTGGTTTCTTTACACTCTGTTTTTTTGTCCCCATCCCACATCCCATCCTCCACACCAGGCCTGGGACCCAGGGAGTCTACAGAACCCTTTTTCTAGCATCAAGGCAAGGGTCACAGTCCACAGTTAGAGTGGGAGGCCCCAGCAAGGCCAGCTACCTGCTTCCTGGGGTTGTCCCTGAGGGCTGGGCTTGTTCGGGGAGGGGCGAAGGTCTCT